AAAGAAAGAAAGAAAGAAAGAAAGAAAGAAAGAAAGAAAGAAAGAAAGAAAGAAAGAAAGAAAGAAAGAAAGAAAGAAAGAAAGAAAGAAAATAACAGTTAAAAAAAATTAGGCCTGGCACCGGTGGCTCATGCCTATAATCCTATCTACTCAGAAGGCTGAGATATGAGAATCATTCAAAGCCAGTCCCACCAGGAAAGTCAGTGAGATTTTTTTTCCCCTTCAAATTGTGTACCTTTCCATTGTTTCATTGTGACAGCTTTTTTTCAGAGCAGTAATTTTTTGTATTTTTTATTGTAAAAATGCTGTACAGAGGGGTTACAGTTACATGAGCAAGGTAATGAGTACATTTCCTATTGAAATGAGTACATTTCCTATTGTGTCCTCTTCCTTTTATCTCCAGTTAACACCAGAAAACCAGAGGTGGCACTGTGGCTCAAGTAGTAAAGCACTCACCTTGAGCTGAAGAGCTCAAAGATAGTGTCCACGCCCAGAGTTCAAGCCCCACAAATGACATAAACAAACAAACAAACACATCATGCCTTTGTGTTTTCATTTGATTCAATTCACAAGCTTAAAAAATGCCTCCCCTGACTGTCTCTTCTTTCCAGCTATCCTTTCATACCTCCAAAGCTAAGTGCCTATGTGGATGAAGCGAAGACTTACGCAGCAGAATACACTTTGCAGACTCTCGGCATCCCCACTGATGGAGGGGACCCTGGCACTGCAGCTGCTGCTGCCACTTCTGCTACAGTTTTCCCAGGTATGGAGAAACCTGTCTTGACAGAAATAGCAGTAACTTCTTCTCAGTAACACATATTCATAAGATTGTGTGTGCATTACACCTACAATAATTCCAGCTTGTACCATCTGTGGACCAAAAAGAATTGGGTTTGAGTGAACCATTCAAGTGTGAGATGGGAAACTGAGCAGGAAAGAAGTTGGTTTTAGTTTTGTCTCTCCTTTAAGTAGCTGCATGATCTTGCCAGCCTAGCCCAATCTGAGTTGGGTTAGTTTTTTTTCTTTTAGTAGTAGATTTCAGTGCCATTTATTAATAGATGGTGTTTATTTGAGCACTTACTGTGGACTAGGCTCTCACTCAAAGCTCTGCAAGCTTTATATTATCTCAGTGTTGCTTGTGACACCAGTAAGAGTTAAGTTAGATCCTAATGCTCATTATGCAGATGAAGAAACCACATACTGGGAAAAATTAGTAATGTAATCAATGTCAATTAACTTTTAAGCCATCCTTGTGCAACCTGCCTGTTCTAACCTTCATTCTCTTTTTATTACTTCATTTTCTGAAATTAATAGGTAGATAAAAAATGTTAAATAAAAATGTGTGTTTGTGTATAGGTAGTGTCTATGCATGAATGAGGTAAATAGACAAGCAATGATATTATCAATAGGTGAATAATCAGGGCTGGTACAGATGCAGATTGCTTAGTAGAAAGTCCATCTGTAGATCAACACACCTGCAGGATTAGATTTAAAAGGTTTCTCCATTTATTATGTATGCCCAACAAATGAATGAAAATGAACAGATAAAAAGTGAATTTGGGGGCGTCTTTTTTCTTCTTTTCCTCTCTCTCTCTCTCTCTCTCTCTCTCTCTCTCTCTCTCTCTCTCGTCGGTCATGGAGCCTGAACTCTGGGTCTGGGCGCTGTCCCTCAGCTCTTCAGCTCAAGGCTAGCACTCTACCACTTGAGCCACAGAGCCACTTCTGTTTTTTTCTGCTTATGTGGTGCAGAGGAATCAAACCCACAGCCTCACACATGAAAGGCTACCACTCTACCACTGAGCCGCCTTCCCAGCCCCTCTTTAGGGGACTTTTCCCTCATGGTATGACAGGAAAATCCCCACCTCATTTGGGAAGTCTGCTAATTCTTTTTCCTAGTTTTTTTTTATAGCTTTCTTTTTATCTTCAAATAAACTTACTCTGTTTACTTAAAAAAAAGAGAACAATAATCTTTGGGGACTGAGAGAATAGCTCAGGTGATAGAGCATCTGCTTACCAAGCACAAAGCTCTGGGTTCAAATCTCAGTATTACCCCCCCCAAATCCTTTAGATTAAAGGGGATCAGGCAAGAAACTTCCTTCAGTAGTATTCAATTCTGTTTTAGTAATGAAACTTCATTTCGTTTGCAGAAATCTCTCATTCTGACTTGCCATTATATCAATATGTTTCCCACATTACCAAACTAGAGTTTCTGCTAGACCTAGAATTACAGCACTCCTATTAATTCTTATATCAATAATGTACAGGTGTATGAATTCTATATTGCTCATTCACACCTGGGCTGACACTTCTCATTTTTTTATTTCTTCCTTTATTTTATTTTGCTTTATTTTTTGTATTGTTGTTGTTGTTATATGAGTCTCACAGTGTAGCCCAGGCTGGCCTCAAACTCATGGTCCTCCTGCTTCAGCCTCCCTAGTGCTGGAATTATTACCTGGTTCTTACTTTGTTGCTCAAAAAAAAAAAAAAAGATGAGTGTCTCATTTTGGCAAATGAAGATAAAACTATTCAGGCTTCCTAAACAAATGTGACCTCAATTCTAGCTTTGTTTCTCTGTAAGAACTTAGAGATGTTCTGTAATGAATCCCAAGTTACCAAGACAACAGCTGACACTGCAGAGAGCATTGTTCCCCGCCCCCGCAAGCTGGTGCCAGCCCTCAGCTTCTGTGCAGCCAGGTGTTTAAATGATCATCTACCCAGGACTCAGGGCAGGACCTCTCAATTCTTAAAGATAAACCTCTACCTTGCAGTAAGCTGTACCCCAACGACATCTAACTGGTATAAAAATAAATGAACCACTGTCAAGAGAATTTTAAAGTTTATTTTCATATTGGAAAGCATCTGTGTTTCCCCAACACTTTCACAATCTGATCCTCTTTGCTATTGGCTTGAATGAAAAGTTAGAAATTTTTAGGGCACGAATTTTGTCTTGGGAATGAACACCTATGAATTTAAGAGCCTCTCCTCACTGTGATGGAAAGAAATAAGCAAAGAATAATAGGCTCTCGGGGAAGAATCCGAAGCACATTCTTGTACTTATAACAATCACCAATTAAAAAAGAAAATGCAAATTTTCTAAAGCTGAGATCTGGGCTACACACACACACACACACATTCATGTTATTAGTTTACTTTCTAAAATGGTGAAATTGGCTTTTTCAAACCCTAAGGGAAATGCACCACACTTTACTTACTCATTAGCATCACTGACTAAAGTGAACAACCAGGCATGAATTCAAGTTTTAAAATGTAGTCCAACTGGTTTCCTGTAGCCGTTTCCTGAATAGCCACTATAACAAAAAATCAATGTGTCTGGGGTTAGGCTGACTTTCACCACCACACAAACCCATTCTGTTGTCATTTGTTCCTTCAGTATAACTGTGTCTTTTTCATACTATCTCTCATAGCTTGGGGATCATTTCAGAAATACCAAGGTTTGGCCTAAAACATTAACAAAGCAATATTGCTTTGTAGACATAATGTTCATATGACAGCACATGAGTGAGGTATTTATCACTTGGATCCATTAGCTCTCTGAGAGGGAGGTCCAGCATCAAAACTTCTGCACACATCAAGATAAGCTTGATGATGTGGTGAGAAGGGTCTAACAGGATAGGTGGTTTTATGGCATTATGTCAAAATTTACAAGGACTTTCAGTATTTCTCCTGCTGATCTATCCTGTTTCTATTCCTCCTTCTTGGCTGAAGCCAATCGTTTCTGATGTTTTATTTAGGCAGATGTGGGATTTTTAAGAACAGGTGTGGGATTTTAGGTAGGTATGGCCTCTCCTCCACCATGCCATGCAAACCTTTCAATGGCCTGCTCTCCTTCCTAAATTCTTAGATCCTCTGATAAAGTTCCACAGTGCACATTCCTGTCACTCAGCACTCAGTTATGTTTCTTTCTCTTGACCTTCAATGTTTAATTTTCCAAGTGGGAAGTGAACCTGACGCAGGTGGTTTCCTCTCTGAGGATGACTGGCCCAGGACCTTTCAAATGCCATTTAGACATCACTGTGGCCACCTCCCACAGCTCCTGAGAACATCTTGTATACCATAGACACTTGCTTTTAGCTTTAATACCTCCAAAGAATAAAATATGGCAAAATCTGAGCCAATCTGAACCTCTGTTCATGAAGTTTCCTCTGCTCCTCTAGGATATGCTGTCCCCAATGCAACTGCACCGGTGTCTGCAGCTCAACTCAAGCAAGCAGTGACCCTGGGACAAGACCTTACAGCTTACACAGCATATGAGGTCTACCCGACTTTTGCAGTGACTGCCCGGGGGGATGGATATGGAGCCTTCTGAAGATACCTTTCTTGTACTTTAACAGTGAGACACACAACACTCTGTATAGAAGAAATAAACTTCTAACTCAGTGCCCTAGTGATCCTAAGTCATGCCTTTCCTGAAACTACATGACTTAAGACTCATTATAGAATCAAGACCTGTGAATGTTATTTCTCAATGAAATCAAACACTAAGGAGCCTTTCCATCAACAGAAAACTGAAGAGTGAAGAGTCATTGACAGCAAAAAAAAAAAAAGAAGAAGAAGAAAGAAAAGTTGTTCTTCCAAGGTTCCTGAATATTCTAGGAGTATGTTTACATACCCTGACCGAATGGGAAGAGGTCTTAGCAGGCCAAAGCTGAGTAAGTAGGCCTGAGCAGCCAGGAACACCAGGAACAGCTAAATAAACTCTAGAATCAACCCTTGACTCCCAGCTGCTTTGTGATTTGCAAAGCCACAAAGAGGAAACAAAGGTAGGAAGATGTTTCACCACTGTCCACTATTGTGGGGACATGACCGCAGGCGTACCCTCATAAAAACTTCGCAAGAGTATGAATTCAGCATCACTTCAGCCTAAAAGTTCTATCTAGTCTATCTGTCATCAGTGAGGATTTTTCTGTCCCCTGAAGCCTCTGGGTGCTTTCTACAAATTGATATCCCATCTTTTAGATAAGTTTGAAAGAAGTCCAAGCCCATGTTTTTTCCATTCATTATCCTATACCTACTTTTACCTGGAAATTCTACTCAACCCCAAGACTCTTGCAAAACCTGTGCCAACCTACAGTGCTGAAATGAGGAACGACTTTTTCTCATTTAACATTTTGACTTGTTCATTACTTTCAGCTTGAACTCATTTTATTTGTCTCTACTATGCCTCTGCCTCCTAAATACTGGGATTACAGGCATACAGCACCAAGATCTAAACAGTTTTATTAACTCAGGCTTTCCTGGAATTCTCATTTATATTAAATCTGTCAATCATCTTCTACCTTCCCTTCCTTACACTTTCTTTCAGTAAGCAAAAGTACCTCTACCATAGCTGGTGGTTTATTTAAAACCATCACAGGAAAATCTTCCATTTGTCACTGCAGATTAGAAACTGTTCAGATGCTCAGCAAGTATATTTGCCCAATCTTCTAGAGTCTTGGTGCTCTTCCAAAAGAAGGGTGCTGCAAACCAGAAATGATATTCCTAGTTTGCATACTTGTAAAGGATTGCTTTGTTCAAAACAGAACTCATTTAAGAAGTCCAGTACAAATACTGTGTTGTTCTTTCTCAAATCTCATTAACAATTCAAGATGTAGAAAGCAAGACTTTGCAGTAAAAAAAAGAAAAGAAAAGAAAAGAGAAGAGAATTTCAGGTTCTTGTGAAGTTCTTCAGAATTCAGGAAGACAAATGCAAAGGTCCAGAAAGTTCTGTCAACCTCTTGTTGGAACTTGGTCATAAAAAAAACAGGGTAGATTTTGATCAAGATCAGATGAATTGCATTCAGACATCAAAAGGACTAAGCACAGAGCTGAAATTCTGGAGAACTATGCTTTGGGTTTCATGTTTACTGCTTCACTATCAGGTGGACAGTAGTTCTCAAAGCTGGCTGCCTGCAAACACCAGCAGATAATTTAATCACACCTCACACCAATTAGATCAGAATGTTTTGGAACAGGTACCTGGCATCAGTATTTTTTAGATTCTTCAGTAATTTCAATGGGCCACTAAGTTTAGGAACTACTAATTTGTCACTGTCTCTTAGGGGTCTTTTTTCACTTTAATGAAATAGAAATTGCATTAACAACTGCTTAAGTTAAAACAAATAGCCAAATCATATTTTATATATAGTCACCTCATAAACAGTATGAAATTGAATGTAATCCATTTTGGCTTCAAACTTGAACCAGATTCTAAAGTGAGAAACTGAAAAAAAATGGCTCCAAAGTAATTCTTACATCCAAATTGACACTCTTGTCTCCAAATCTGCTTTTATTATCAAGGAGAGTAACTACATTGACAAAGCAAATGTCCTTTGGGACAGACAAATTTCTGCTCCACCTGAAAAAGCATTTCAAATTCCAAGAGCAAAAGTTTTTATTTCTTGTAGAATCTTTGAAAATAAATGGCAAAAACCATTCTTCATGCTCAATTAATGCATAATAAAAGGACTGAGTAGCTAGGATTATTGGCATGATCCACTGGTGCCTGGCTTGAGCTTATTGTTTTTAATGGAAAATAATATTGACTGATTATATTCATTTTCACAGCATTTTGGCCATTTCTTATTCTCTTCACTAATATGGAGAATTAAACAACCAATCACCAACCTATTCTTCACAGAATATGTGAATGATCTGTTTCCTATGCACATAGTTTTATGCCAGTAACTGTGAATACAAATGCATATATTTCCTATTTCATTCCTCATTGAGGCACACAGTCTATTGGTCCATCTGCATTTTTCAAACCTAAATATAATTCAATCAGCTGCTAGGTTTTGCCACTTGGTCAGAATCCCAAAAATAAATCAACTCCATTCTAAACCTTAACTTTCCACTGTGACTGCCAAACACTGAGTTGGTACAGTCCTTTTTTTTTAAGATGAATTTAACACTTGACCTATTATTGTCATTTACGTAAAATGAATTTTCAAGTGCATTCCCAAGAGAAATAGAAAGAACTGTGCAAAAATAGGAAGAGGGAAAAGAAGGTTTAGTTAGAGAATCTGAAATTTTATCAAATTTACTGATATGAGATGTGAATGAGTGGATACCAAGCTTTTCCTTTACTTGAGAACATTGACTACTTCTGTTTTCTAATTATACTTGTGTTTATAAAACTCAGAAGTCTGATCAACAAGCTTTAGCCATACTACTTGTACTATGTGGCAATCAATGTTTTCCTCTTGTATATGCATAGTTTGCTGCTGGTGTACAATTTTGTTCGGAAACTCACCATTTTCTATTGTAATTCCAAGAGGTCTTTGCAAATACATCTATTTAAAACCACTATCATTACCATCAGTTTGAATAGTAATTGTAGTTTGGGATTTATATCTACTACTTGATAGAATTCTTTTTCCCCTATTTTTCTAACGGCAATAAAGATATGTTTAGCCTTTATCTCTTAATAAAAACAAGCTGTCAGAGAAATAAATTTCTAATTTCCAGATGTTAAACAATCTCTTCTTTTATGTTTTGTTATTATTTTTATTTATATGAAGTTAACTAAGGTGCCAAAAGAAAGAGATAAAAGCAGTATTAAAGAGTGTGCATACCACACCAATTTTTGTACTTTGTGTACAATGTTTTATAGAATTCTGTGACTATCTAACTGTATTAACTAAAATCATGTCATTCACTTATTAGAAAAAATAATCATTGTTTTGGAAGACATAAATACATTGGTTACCTTAAAATCATAAATCACATGAAAAGAGAAATATAATAGTCTGTAATTCTAGGATAATGAAATGGTTTTAATTGAATTTCCTAATACAATAAAGTTTTAGAAATGATCAATATGAGTTTACTACTTTTTTCTTTTCTAAAACCTACAACTTTACTTCTTTGGAGTATATCCAAATATTAAGAATTCACAATTGCAATCTGATTTTGATTAATGCACTCCCAGTTTTGTATAAGTTTCTACTGGTGGTCTTCTGAGGATAATGGAACTTTTAGTAATTAAGTGATTTACCATCCAATCAATAAAGCAAACTAAAGAACTACTCCAAAAATAAATATAGAGAGAAAGCAGGACTCCAGCAAGCCATGTATTCTCTGCAGCCCACACTTGACGGCATCTTCTTATCCCTAGAGAATAAAGACAGGCATCGGCAATGGCAAACATGCCTCCAGGACTAAATATTCCTTTGTTGGTACTAGAGCTAAAAATGGCTGTGATGGTTATAAAGAGTTTGGCAAAGAATGTTTTTTTTATATTTCTTAAAGATTGTTTTAAAGAAAAACAGGAAGGAAGAAACTGTAACTGTATAACCATATATGGCCTGAAAACCAAAACTATTTACTATCTGGCCCTCTATAGCAAATGTTTGCCAACCCTGCACTAAGACAAAACTGAATATTTTGGTGTCTGTCCTACACAGTACCCTACTTCTAGGTATTGAATTCTTACTAGCCAGCATTAGGTTTGGGTGGTAATAGCAGTACCCCCCTACTAGCAGAAATTTAACCTCAAAGGCTTGAAAAGGGAGTGTGGTCTGGTGTCAAGCTCATGTCTTAAACACAGGTTCCTTCCTGCTACTTCATGCGTACAGTTTCACCATCATGGTCTAAGATTTACATTCTAAGTAAAGAGAAGAAATAAAGAAGAGAAAGAACACCTACTGACTTCCCTGAACAACAGTTACTGTAAACTGCACAACACTATTGTTTATATCACAATGGCCAGAAAAAGTACATGGCCACAACACTCTACAAGAGTTGATGGGAAATGAAGTTCTCATCAAAGCAGCCAAACACATGATTTTACTATGAAAGGTTGGAAGAGTAAATATTGAAGGCAAACTAGCAAAGCCTGTTACCAATATCTGTACCACTAGAAAAGTGTGAAGATTAAATGAAGTAATGCACAAAAGATTAGCTAGTACTGGACTTGGTACATAGTAGATGTATTTGACTACTAACTCTCCTTCATCCTGCCTTTTACCAACTAAAAGGATGCTAATGATTTATGTTAGACTTTCTTCAATTATTATTGCTTATTGAAAATGGCAGGAAACATGATACATCTCTCTATAATAACTTTAAATATTAATGGCCTCAATTCTCCAATCAAAAGAAGAATAGCAGACTGGATCAAAAATAAGATCCATATATTGTTTGCATTGTTTTGGGTTATTTTTGAATTGATTAAAGCTTCCACTAATTATGATATATGTCTTTTAATATATTACCTGTATGTCACATTTATTGAATAACTAAAATATATTAATCTCTGATCTTAGATAAAAGAATTTAGAAACAGGCATTTGCACAAAATAACATACTCATTACCTTACTCGTGTAACTGTAATCCCTCTCTACAGTATCTTTACAATAAAAATATTAAAAATAACAAGAATGTCATAAAGACCATCAAGCTAACTTATAGTAATAAACAGCCCTATTACAGGAAGAAGAAGGAGGAGGAGGAGGAGGAGGAGAGGCGGGAAAGGAGGGGGGGGAGGAGGCAAAAAGAAGCAGCAGCAGCAACAGCAGCATCAGGACAGTCCCAAACATAGGGTCTTTCTTCTACCACTCCATAAAAAAATAAAATAAGACATTAAAAGAAACATAATTTTCAAAAAAGAAATAGAAATATAGTAGGGAGGATTTCAGTGATGCCCCCCCTCCCCTGCCCATCTCCTGGTATTCAAAACATTGTGTAACCCCCTCCCCTTGAGGGCAGGCTGGCCTTGGTAGCCTGATTTTAATGAGTAGAATATGGCCTGAGTCATAGCTGTCATTTCCAAGGTTAGAAAAATCTTATGATTTTCATCTTGCAGGCTCTTCCTGCTTGCTCATTGTTAGGAAGCAACCTGCCATGCAGACTATGCTGTGGGAACATCTCATGGCAAGGAACTACAAGCAGCCTGTGGCCCGGGGAATTAAGTCCTGCCAACAACCCCATGACTGCTTGGAAGCAAGGTTCTCCTCAATGGAGTCATGTGAGAATTGCAGGCCTGGCTATGGGCCTTGAATGCAGCCAGACAGACTGCAGCTGGAAAGACTGCAACAGAGAACAGTGAGCTACCCCTGGCTCCTGAGTCATAGAAACTAGGAAGGCCTTATCATGTCATATTTTTAGGTAACAAGTTTCCCAAATTTGTTTATGAAACAATACTTGGTACAACAGAGAGAAATTACAAAGTAAATGTGTATATTATCTGCCAGTCACAGCAATAGGTAACTGATAGAACAGAGAAAGTTCCAAAGCTGTGGTGAATTCAAATATGTTGCCTATCTGAGAGTCACAGAAGCCATTGTATGAAATCAGAGAAACCAATTCGATGTTGAGGTTTTGGGGTGTAAGTTGTGGCATCCATATCGTGGCGGGGGGAGGAAATGAGGGCTATGGGAGAATGCTTTGCTCTGTAAGTGACAGAAAGCAGATGCTTGTCAGTGCTTATGAAGCAGGAAGAAGAATGGAAATGGAAGAATAGGTGAAGAAATGGAGTGAAGGAAAGGAATAAAAAGAGAGATAGGAAGGGAGAGAGTTATGGAAGAAGAGAGGAAGGGAAGGAAACATGAAGGGGAGACACAAAGAGAAAGGCAACTGGTGAGAGACTGGGATGATATTGAGTAACAGCAGAGTTAATGCTTTTTGCTCCCTTATCTCAAGCAATGAGTGAACTTTCCCTTTGATGAACAGTATTGTGATAGGAACCATTTTAGAGTAAAACAAAATTCACTGAGCAAAATACAATATTCCAATCTGAATTTTTTTTGGTTGGTTGTGGGGCTTGAACTCTGGGCCTGGGTGCTGTCCCTCAGTTCTTCAGCTCAAGGCAAGCGCTCTACCACTTGAGCTACAGCGCCACTTCTGGTTTCCTGGTGGTTTATTGGAGATAGGAGTCTCACGGTCTCTCCTGCCTGGGCTGGCTTTGAACCACGATCCTCAGATCTCAGCCTCCTGAGTAGCTAGGATTACAGGCGTGAGCCACCAGCGCCCAGCTCCAATCTGAAATTTTAAAAGGATATCTAATATAATATCTGAAAAGAGTGGACTCAGAAAAGAGTTCAGGCTTCAATGTCAGTTCTGCCACTAACTGCCCTTAGTGCCTGACAAGACACTCTGCAACAAAGCACAGCAATCAAAATGTGGGCTTACAATGTCAGACAGGGCAATATTGTTTCACCTGCACCAAGTCAATATATTACTACTACATTACTTCCTTGCTTGCAACTTGCCAATTTTTTTATCGCCTTTGCTTGCTCCCAACAAGAAGCAAATATAATAAAATACAGTGGGGAATGCAAATAGCTGACACAGGACAGACTTTCTCTTTCCTACCTTTGCTAGGCATCCATAAATGACTCAGTGGGTCTCCTGCTGGTCTTCGTCTCAGACTCCTTTTCAACCCATGGTTCCCGGTAGTCACTAGTAGTCAACCAACATGCAAATGAATTTCTGCTTTCCTCCTTACTACACATCAAAAACATCCCTGAAGTTATCACTAATAAAACCACTCAAAGATAACCTCTTTTGAAACATAAGGCCTTTCCAAGACCCATGACCCAAGCATGGGTCTCCTGAATCAGCTACAGGTGTCTTACCCCGTGTGACTATATAAATATTTTACACATTAACTGACTCCTGTTCTCATTGTATTTCCCTGCTCCCTCACCTCCCACCTTTCTAGCAGATCTAGCTGTCTATCATTGCTTTAATAAAGGTGTCTGTCCAAACATCAAACAGATTTCCCGCAAGCATTTCTGGCTGTACTTTTTCAAAAGCTTTAGCAGTTGAAAGAATTTACAGGTTTTTTCCAGAGAAAGAAAAGAGTGGGAGAATGAAATTCATAATAGAGACCAAAAAATAAAAAATAATCATTGAGTATCAAGGAGGAAAAAGAATTGATGTTCTTATCGTTCCCCAAAATAGAACAAGGTTGGAGAAACAGGAATAGAATCTTAAGAACTAAGGAATTGAGACCCTGCTTCTAAATAAGACAAGATCTCAAAGAATAACTGCAAATAACAAGTTCAATCAGCCTTGTATATACACCCATGCCCCCAAACAGGACAGGGACTTCTCAAAGAGTTGAAGGGAGTCCAGCAAATGATTAGCCTGCTTGGACATTATCTTTGTAACCAAAAAACAAACATAAGTTTCCCACTTCTACCTATGAAAAATACAAAAGCTTAGAGCACAATCTTGGAACACAAAGATGGTCTGAAAAGTTTTATTTCCCTGAACCACACATATGAGAGGTCAATTAAAAAGTCAAGTTAAGCTACAGAAAGATGAAGGAACTTTCTCCTTTCCTGCAGTGGTTCTGCCCTGAGTTCTGTCATTCCAACATTCAAGATTCACCTCACTGAAGTTCCAAAAGGCCTGTTGTATCTCATGCTGCCCAGCAGAGTGGGACAAGCCTAGGCATTGCAGAGGCAACTGGCCTTGCCAACTGCTATTTGATTTTAGAAAAATTGCTTGAAGTCCTCAATTCTACTTCATCTCTTGAAAACTCTGTTCTCCAAATGTATCAAACTGCCGCCTGAAACTGGGGGCTCATGCCCGTAATCCTAATTACTCAGGAGGCTGAAAATTGAGGATCAAGGTTTGAAGCCAGTCCAGGTAGACAAATTCAAGATTCTTTTCTCTAATTAGCCACCAAAAAAAAGGTGGAAATCGAGGTATGGTTCAAGCAGTAGCTTTGAGCCGAAAAGCCAAGCAAGGGTGCAAGGCCCTGAGTTCAAGTCTAGTATCAGCACACACACAATAGAAAACATTGAATTATACAAGCATATTATGTGCATTTAATTATGTATCAATAAATCCTTAATATAAAAA